AAGCCTCAGTTTGTCAACACTCATTTCTTCATTTTGAAAAGATGGCACAGATACTGTACAACCTCATTACAACAAACACTCATGGGACCTGGAGAAACGTTTATTAGAAGAGGATGTGTACTATACCTGGCACAGTCCATCTACTGAATCATAATGATGAAGGGGAAAAAAAAAAAAAGAAAAAAAAAAATCAGGTCCTGCTGTTGGGATTATTAAAACCAGGGGGCTGTTATAAACTGAGTTTGTTGTAAGGATTTCATAGACATTAGGGCTGGAAGGGACCTAACAAGATCATAGGGTCTAGTCCTCTGCCCAAGGGGCAGGAAGTCAGCAAGGGTCAAATGATCCCAGCAAGATAGGCATCCCAGTATTTCTGAAAGTATCTAGAGTGGGTGCTTGCACCACCTCTGGGGGAAGCCAAACACCATCTGTAAAATGAGCCCAGTAACATATGGGCTCATCACCTTTCTGAAATAGACAATTACTCTTCTTTCAGTAAAGTGGTTGAGGTTACTGAAGAGGAGCTAAGTACACAAGTTTCCGAACAAATGAAATACAGGTAAACTCTGAAACCAGAACCTACCTATTGGGATCTGATGCTTGAAGCCCATTCTCATTTGTCACAATAACTTTGAAACAAGGTTCATTTCCAGGATTTGGTTTCTTTTTCAATTCTTCTTCCACTTCTTCATCACCCTCTTCTTCTTCTTCCACCTCCGCTACTTGCATAATCCCAAAAAACTCACCAGCATCAAACACCTAAGATTGGAAGCACCATATAATTAAGAGTGTCTAGTTGACATGGTAGCCAAAAGTTACCTGAAACACAGTCCATTGTTTAAAGGTGCTGGCTAGTTAAGTCTGACCTGTGATCTGACAGGCTTCTTGGCATTTGGCAAGGAACAGATGGATGGATTATAATACTGATTCTTGCTTTTTTATTGCTGATTTATTTGGTTGAGAAATTTCACCTGTCAAATGCAGGCAGAAAACTACTTATAGTCCTTCAATTTATCACACACTCTTTTAAAACTGAAAAGCAGGGGGCCTTTATAGAACTGTACTTAAAAATCAATGCAATTTGTTTCCCAGTCTCTGGATTACAATGAAGCACTCTGGAGTTCAACCAAGAGTTCAGAAATAGGAAAGAGGCCTTCTGCAGGGTTTCTCTTTCCAAGAAAAATGATTTTGCATCATGGATTTACTCAATGAGACACATATTCACTCAACCCTGGATGTTCAGAAAGATTTCATACACTGCAGAAGGTGAAAACCATCACTGTCTACCACCATACTGAAAGATTTCAAGGGCTTGTTTTTAACTTTCCTTATCTTACTATGAACTTTCTGTATCATAATTTATAGTTTAGATCAGAGGTGTCAAACTCTATAAACTTCTCTCCCATCTACACCCCCTCTGCCAGATCTGGATCATGGAGTACCTCCCCTGCTGCCACCAAACATTCCCCATGGGGCTCCATACCTGGGAATCCGGTGGCAAGCCCCACCCCCATTCATGCCACCCCAGAATTTTTGGCCCCTTCTGGGAAGCTAACAGGCCAGGAGAAATAGATCCATGGGCCAGAACTGGCCTACAAGCTGTGGTTGACACCCCTGGCAAGTTAAGTATGTTACTAGATCAACTGGAGCTGGATACTATTAGATCTGAACCTCTAAAACTATGGAACAGTCTAAATAAAGCAGCTTTCACAGTTTCAAGGCCAATGTATGTTTTTAAAAAGAAAAAAAAAAGCTCCCTCAAATTTGAAATCTCATTAGCACCAAAGCAGTTATTTGGTTACTTCTCTAAGCCACTTACGTCAGACAGGATCAGACACACCATTAGTTCTCTCCGGTGTTGTTTGAAAGTGCATTAGGATGACTTTCATAAATATTCTCTTGTCTTAAATCTTTCTGGAAAAAAATGACACTTGGAAATGTAACCTGAAGAATTATTGGTTTAACATGTCAAATTGGGGTAGGTCAAACCCCCAAAAGTCATGCTAATGCAGGCTATTATTTCTAGACAATTAACAGCTTGCTATCTCAGGGATTTTATTTCCAGTAATGAGTTTTCCCTTGTACTTCTTGAGGGAGTGTACTTCAGGATAATTATTTCTGCTAATTCTCTTAGTTTATTTCCTCAGTTCTGTAACTAAGTACCTGTGAAGTAACACTACCTAGCAATCACTATTCCATTTGGAATACTAGGTGATGTTAGAAAAATGGGAAGCTAAAATGGAGGCGGGGGGGAGGGAAGCAAAGGAGTGGAAATGTCTATTTTAGGTTTAGCTGCAGCCTATTCACCATAGGATCTGAACATCTTCCATGTAAAAATCAAGAGAAACTACCAAGGCCTTGGACTCCAGGGGGTTGTGAACATGTCCATTCCTGGGGACAAAAGTCTGCTTGGGGTACAGATTTTTTTGTTTGGGTGTAGGAAAGTTGTCAGTGATGGGTTCACTAAAAAGACATAAGAGTTGGGGTGAGAAGGACTCTATTTTAGAAGCAGCGTTACAGAAAAAAAATTCACTTTATTGGGAATCGGTTTGCTATTATACAGGCTTGTCCAACATATAG